TGTGCACCAATAAACTTCCACAATACGAAATGACATGTGTTAGCCAGAGTTACACTGTTTTTAAGAGAGAAGTATGGTCACACATGTTTCCATGTCATGGCAGTTATTGAACACAGGGTGTCTTAACAGCATGAAATCTGAACATAGCTTAATAAATGGCTTGTACAGATTTGGTAATAGAATTAATTCACTGCCTAGCACATAGGTACCCTGGGCTGACAGATTCTGAAGAACACTACAAGGGAAAATAAGAAGATTACTAAATGCTTCTCTTCTAATCTGCCGTGTGAGAGACAAATGAAAAAATAGGAAAGAACAAATTCAACATCTTGGAGTACAATTTCTTCACACGTTTTAAAGGTCACATTGATTTGAAACAGAATAGTTGAATTGTTCCAATTGCCAGGTTCATCTTCATGAAAGAAGTCTACTTCCAAAACTCTGCTTGGAATGCTCACAGTAGGATTCCTGCAACATGTCTGAGCAATGAAATAGAGCAGTATGTGATAAAGACATAATACTTCTCCCTTGTACACTTGGAGGTAGCTGATTACAATTCCCGTCTTACAGAAGAGAGATCAAAAGCTGTCACTACACCCCGGTCACCAGAAATCAGGCCAATACAAGTCCTGGCAGGAAACTAGGGTCAGTCAGATCAGGTGCAGAATCAGGAACAGACCTTGTTTTGCCTAGCTCAAATCTGGAGATCAACCACAGGACTACGATGGCCCATGTAGAGAAAACCAGTCACGCTTGTGCTTTTTGCTCTTCAACTGTATCTTTACTTTCCCTCCCATTTTAAGAGGGAGGATGGAAAGGTAAAAGCAAAGGGCTGAAATTAATGAAAGGTTGCAAATCCAAGACAAAACTTCCCTTGAATTGTGCAACAAACAGAACATATTCTCAAAAGGATACACAGATTTGAAAGGACACTATTGCAATCTTGATAAGAGCAGGTTAAATATACTTTCCTGTTCAGAGCAGACTATATTTGACTAAGTCGAAATAATTTTAGTAACTCATTTTCTAGCCTCGGGACTTGGGGATTTTTCTGCCAGCATGATCAGGAACTTATGGGAAAACAGGTTTAAGACCAGAAGAAAATAAACTGCTGAAATGAAAACAGGGTAGAACAAAGAGATGCTGGCAGACTGCTGTGCAAAAAAAAAAAAACCAACTGAGAGATAATTACAAAAAACTCCTGGCTCGAATCACTATTTTTCATTTGAAAGAGTACATGAAACATATGCTAATAAGCCAAGCCATTTGCTTGTGCAGTACTTCAAAGATGGTCTGTGTAAAACATTTTCAACCCAGTGCTTGGGAAATCTGGTATGCTACTTGCTGTTAATTCCCGACTTAAGGGACTGAATATTTACCCTCTGAATGAAAGTACTGAACTAATGGGCTAGATCCTCCACTCAATTATGCCAGTCCAGCCCACTCACAGTGAAACTAAGCTGGTGTAAGAAAAAGAAGTATTTGACTCAATTATTTTTAACTGGACCATTCATGAACAAGCCACTTCCGTGCTAATAACACCTTTCATTAGAATTTCAGTATAGTTCTTTATCATTGCAAATAGTTCTTCACCTTCTCAAGCAGTCCCATTGGAATGAGTAGATCCAAGGTGGCCAAGTCAACCACTGTGTCACATGCACAATGGAATCTCAATAGAAACATTTTAATCACAGAACTTGCAAGTTAACGTCAACCAAACCATTAATGGTTGAAGAGCAAATGACAGGCAGGACCTGAAAACTGTTGGAAGTGACAGAGCTGCTATGTTCCAGACTAGCTTACAGCAGATGTCCAGCTGAGAGGAGATCTGCACAAAGGGAAAACAGGGGTTGAACTGCAGATGGTAAAAGGCATCTGAACAGAGGTGAAGATAAAATGTAAGGCAGAAACAAGAAGGGAAGAAGTTGGTGGGTATAACAGAAAGTTAACACATAATACATTCCTTACCAATAGAGACCTCACTCAAAAATCAGTAGAACTCTGCCCATCTAAAGCAGCCAGGAATTGTCCATAAAGTTGTCATGAATGGATGTAGTTTGTGATGGATACTTCTCAGACCCAAGGTGAATGCAAGAAAACACAGATGGACAGTTTGCTGCTTCATTTTTCTGACTCAAAGTGAAAAAGTCATTAATGCATCTCCAGGATTACACTCTACTAAACATATACTGATGTCTACTCAGAGAGTTTTTGAACAGCAAGACACTATTTAAGTGCCAGCATTTAAAATAAACCTGTACAAGCAGCTTTTTCAGCTGCCATTCATCAATTACAGTGTAATGGCTATGCAGACTTTACCAAGATTCTGCATTTAAAAAATGTTTTTCAGAAGTCTTGAAGTTTCCAGATTTTTTTTTATATATATATATATATATGTATATTTAACACTGAAATATGGATTTCTTTTGCTCCCACTCAATATCCTTTTATCTTCCTCTTTGTCCGTATACACCATAAAGTGTAATAAAATTGACTAGGACTTTTTGATTGAGGTGCTGAAGGGCTCTCCCACGCTTTTGTTTTTTAGAGCCTCTGCTTTGTGAAATGTTAAATTAACAAAGGAAAATCTGAAGGTCACATTTGCCATGTTAACATTTTTTTACATCTGAAAACTTACAGGACATTAAAAGGAAAAATAGGGTTTTTTTTTTGCTAAGGCAAAAAAAATCCCCATACTCCATCAAGTCTAAGCAATGAATTCCTTTGACATTTTCTAACAATGCAAAGTGAAACAATAACTTCACCTTAAATTTCCGTCCACTGCTTTGTATGTCAGAGTGTGTGTGGACATAAGTACAGAGAGGGACACATTTGATAAACTACTTTCCCATGTGCTCTTCAGCTCCTAAGACCTTACAGGTATCAGAGCAATAAATGTTCTACAAACCCAAGGGAGAGCTAGAGAGGCAACTGAACAGGTGTCTCAGCATTCACTGCATAAACAGAGTTTTCGTATCCAAAGCGTATTAGCAGTAAGAAGTCAAATAACACATTCATGCTTTGTTGGATTCCTGCCTAGAAGTTCTAATCCTCTTCACTCTGATTGCAAAATCACCACTGCCAAGCCCGATTTCTTGGCTTTATCAAACTGTGCATGAAACAACTTCATGGCTTGACACGCATACACCTCTATCCATGTGACTTCACAAGCACCAGGTAACTTCAGCAGATCAAAGTACGTAAAGTCAAGCCATAGCCAACACCTTATACAGCTGGCACTCACCCTTTTTCCTCTACGTAAATAAATAAACATCTGTGAGCCAGGAGGAGGAAGATACTGTTGAGATTTAACATGTCTCAAGGACAGAATCAGGACTAACACTGGTTAGTGGTGGTACTTCGGGTGAAGACTTTCACATTTTGCTCTGTGTGTGTTCTCTGGGAATAAGCTCTGTAAGCAGTTTCATTAGGAAGATTAAATACCAGAATTTCAAGGTTGCATAACTAAAAGTGGACCAAAGTACATTTCAAAAGAAAAGTGATTTGTAGATCTGGTGCCGCCTTAGTTGTATCTAATGAAGGTAAGAGAGCCAAATCTGTGTAGTCTCAAATTTGTGTAGAGGACCATCACATTCTCTCTGTAGGAAACAGAGGTGACAACTTACAGTTCAAAGAAAAGAACCCTTATTTTTTAGAAATTTGGGAGAAAAACAATGTTGAAATAAGTGTTGCAGGAGTGTGTATGTGTGTTTTAGGAATTTAAAACTATGTTTTTCCATTTGCAATGATTTGCTGTTCCAATCTAAGTATTTCAAAATGGGAAATAGTAACAGTTTCGTTAAAGCAATCAAGAACATAAAACCAGAAGATATAGCACACAGAAGGACTGATTTGAGAACAAAGTTGTTAAAAGTCACACACGGTCAGCAACGAGGTCATCAAAGGAAAGGCTTTACACATGCTAAACTGATGTCAGTACTGGTAGATAACTAGAAAAAGGAAAGGAGCCAGAAGCAGAAAGAGGCAGAGGATGGAAGATCTTACACAAGAACAAAAGTACAAAGAAAGAGAATTAGAAGAAAAGCTGGCACTTATTAATTAAAGAATCAAGGAACTCGGGGAGAAGAAACCTGCAACCAGAAAACAGAACCTGGGCCAAAAGGATGGGTTTGCCTGGGAGGCAGAGTTACATGTGTACATGTGAGTGGGTGAAAACAGACATGGAGAAAGGGGCCTGGAATGGTAAAGAAACTGTGAGAAAGTGCTGAACTACAAGTACAACTGAAACCTGGTACACACTCCATCTGCGAGCAATTACAGTGAGCTTCCAGGTCGAGAAAGTTCTTTGTTGTATACACCTGAAACAAGATCCTTCTCCCACATCTATGCTCTTAAGAGGTAATCTGTAATGTCACCTTGGGCATATCTGCAGAGAAAATATCCAAAGAAAGGCTCTTAAATGTAAGCACTGGGTTATTATAACTCCAGTTGACTGCTTCAGATGTTCAGAGAAGGACTGAGGTGCACAAAGACTGTAGGAGAAAGAAAGCAGATCTGATATAGGGATTGCAATTACAGCGGAAACCGAGTGTTTCTGTTATGCAAAGGCACAGAGCACACAAAAAGGTGACTCACGAGACAGTGGAGGAGGAAGCTAGGAAAGAAGTGCGGAAATGGAATGAGCTGAAGGTATATATTATTGGTATGTTTAACACATTTATCTGCACCTCTAACTTGCCGGGAGACACTTGGGCAATCGCTAAGCGACCTACAATTTGACACTATCAAACACCTATCTTCCTTAATCACTTCTCAGCACATATTGATATAGACAATGATTTTGCACAACAAATACCAAACCCATGAATAATACTAGTTAGCAAGTGTAATGCAGACAAGCCTCTAGTACCTCAAAAAAGGAAATGGTGAAGAAAACACTTCTAGACAAATAATAAAAGACAAATCCTCAACAACTTAAAATATGAATGGTGTGGTTCTTCTGACAGTTGCATTATTGTTAGTGAGGAATAACTCAAGTTGGAAACTCACGACAGTCTTAGGAACTTCCTGCTGCTGCCTACATTATCAGTGCAGTGGAAAACAGAACTGTGTAAACATACTCCAATAAATCTTATGTTGAAATCACAACAATTCCTCAAACTCTGGCATAGTTCAGAAACTCTGGCATATTCTGGAGGCCAGGTTATCTGAAGTGAGGCTATTCCTAGCTATTCCAACCTTTAGTCATAACATCTGAATCTTAAGTGGCTTACCCTGAGTCTTGGTCCCTTGCTTAACTCACCACTGCTACCCTTTCATTCAAGTTTCTCATTTATATGTGATAACACCTTTACAGAACAGGTACTGCACATTCCATGTGGGATGTGCCATGCTCAGTCTAACTAGGATCAGTACCACAAGGCGAGTAATAGAATGGTCAAATGTAGCTTTTATGCAATAACCCAACCTCCACATCTTTCACAAACAGGTGGGAAACTCCCAAAGGGGACAACCACTGGTACAAGTTTAAAACTAGTACAAGTTTAAAAAAAAACCCCAAATGCAACAATAAATCAATGAATCTGCATCATCCAGGACTCTCTGGAATGCCAGCAGACCATCTGATCTGCACTGTGGTAGTGCTCTACACACAAACAACAAAGACAGAAAACATCCTGGGGAGTTGTGTCAGTGATAATTTGCATGCCACCTTATCGTTTAAAATGTTTGCCGCCTTAGTATCTAATTAATATAAATACAGCTGTACTTACAGACAGGGTAAGCCTGATCTCCTTATGGTTACAGTTTTTTGAAAGCTTTTTCTTTAGCGCTTTAACTGCATCTTTAGGCCTGTGACAAATTAAGTAGAAAAAGTTACCAGTGAAGTCAGACTGTTTTTCTAGTTCATAACTTCATCCAAGAGCCAAAAATACCGGCCTGAGATACAAGACCAAATTCATCCCTGAATTTACACCCACATAAAACTAGAGCAATTACCCCACTGATTCCAGCAAAATCACTTCAGCATTGAGCTAGAGTAACAAAGCAGTGAATCAGGTTTGTTACTGCAGACTCTGCATTACTCCAGAGACTTGTGCAGAGAAATAAGTTATTCTCCTCTGCAAAGCCTCCTCCAAAATTATATTATTTCACTGTTTTGCAACAGATTTACTTTTCCAGCTTTTATTGCTATGAAAGGGAATAACAATTGCCAACTGTATTGAGAGTTGACTGGTACCTATTTTTCATCTATGGTGCAACTAAAAAATACTCTCCTGGGAGTGCTGTCAGGAGTAGGGGTGTCTTGGCTAACTCAAATCTTATAATTGCAGGATGCTTTTAACTCATCTAAGTAATTACCGTGTACGGATGGACAACCCATTCCACCCTGGAGATAGTGGCGTTTCTGGGCCAGTCATTTTGATGTCTATATATATACACCCCATATCTTTTAAGTATCTATGTAGGAGGAAAAGGGTGGAAAATGGTATCAAGCTTATCACATGTGGGAAACAGTTTTGTGTAATTAATATGTGCTATCTATAGTGTACAACTATTAGGGCCAGCTCAATGCTCATGATCAACAAAAACAAGATGTCTTACAGTCTCTTTAGGATCTCTCTAGAGTCTAAGACAGAGCAATAGGCACAACTACAGTGTTTCAATAAGAAAAAAAAAATCTTTGTTGAAAACATTTCAAAGCAAATAAAATTAAATGGGTATTTACCATTACTGCATTTTTCAGTTTGAAATGTTATTGTACTTCATCAGAAAAAAAGAGATATATCTACATAATCCTATGTCATACCCAGCCATATCAGTAGAGCATCAAGTGATGGATGGGAACATGAGAGCAGAGAAGAAAACTTCCCCTGCAGAAAGCTGTACTACTATTATTCCACTCCTGCTTCTTTGCTTCTCCCACTGAAGCATCTGGAGCATCTGGTCAGGAGCTGGATATTGCGTTAAAATAACCATTTGCCTAATTAGATACAGCAGTTCTGCTGTTCTTAGTATCCTGTTACAGACTGTGACTAGTAGTTGCCTAGGAGGAAGTTATAAGGAGTTCCTCTGTAAGCATAAGCTGTGCACAAGAGCACAGTTTCTTGTTTATCAAAAAGCCCTGTTGCATAGAAACTCCACATAGAAACTAACGCTGAGGGTCAAAGTGTGCTGCTGCTTATGGCGAAGACCAGAAGAGAGTCATTGACCTTCCAAGCTCTAAAAGCCATGGGTGAGAGTGTGGGATCCAAAAAAAAAAAAAAAGAAAGGAAAAGCTGATGTAAAAAAAACCCCACCTGTGCAGAAACTTAGGCACAGCTCACTCTCCTGAAGAGTATTCCAGTTGGTGTTAGAACATACCACTGCTAACAGGGGGTTCCTGCAATGCAACACTAAAGCAGATCTTACGAGAACAAATTTCCTTCTACAGGTAAGAACAGGAAGCACAAAGCAGTAAGTGGCTGAGCAAACCAGAATGGTTACAAGGAGTTCTGAGATACAAGACCAAATTCATCAGTGCAGGAGGTCACCTCTGTCCCGGTTGCCCTGGGTACACACCTTTTGGTGATGGATTGCACTGAACAGAAATCCAGCCATCGCTTTGCTCCTGCTGTGACAGAGGCTGGCTGAGACACTGCACAGTGGGGAGCTCTGATTAAGTTAGAAGTATGGAGCTTTAAATACTGTTGTAGGCAACAAAATGCTCAAGGTCTTTTTTCAGGCTGGGTTTTGCAGATACCCATTTCACCTGACAAACAGTAGAGGTCAAACAAAATACATCAGACTCGTGTGAGAAACCTGTGTTATCACCTCTCTCTAGCACTTGTCTATGGGGAACAGCCTACAAGTCTAATCTACAAGTCCCGACAGCTGAGCCAGAGGCACTAAGACGGACAAAACTCCTAGGAACCAAAGATACCTGCTCCCTGCTGCTGCTTTGTTTTGGGTAACTTTATATACACACCATACGCTGCCTGCTCGATCTTGCCCTGCCCTCGAGCAACGCCGGTGCTACCTCCAATAGGAAAACCGGCTGTTCTCAGCCCTGCAGGTGAAGGGGGACCTTCGGACACCGGGCTGCCCCCGGCTCCCCGCACCGCTCACCCCTCCTCCGTCGCGCTGATCACGTCGCAGATGTGCATGAACTGCCCCCAGTCCTCCGTCTGCAGCGATCCA